ACATACATATGTAATATATATACATTATTGTATGGCCGCAATTCGTACGTACCTTTTATAAACCCGGGCCGCAACTCGTACGTTATTTTGGGACTGGGCCGCAACTCATCAACACCGGATTTTATCATGATGTATATTTTTTTTTGTGTACGAATACACAATAAGTTTTCGATAAAATGTTTTAATTTTAAAAAATGGAAGTGGATTTAGATGTAAAATTATGCCTAATTTGTACTTTAAAATGGTCAAATAAAATTTTCCTGTACTTATTTCCATATTTAGCAAAAACAAACATAAAATTAAGGAAAAATGGATATTTTTGCTCAAATTTAATTTTTGACAAAATTGATTTCGTTTTTCTTTATGTAATTACTTGCAATTTTTAGTAAATGTTTATATTATCATTCGTTATTTATGATAACATTTTCAAATTGAGCTATATATTAGCATAAGAAATTTTAATTTTTTTTTTATGAACGTTGATTAAAAAAATATTTGTTAGACCAAAATTCTTATAAATTCTATACAAGATTCCACAAAAGTTATTCCTATATCTATATATAAAAATTAAAAATACATAGGTACAATTTTTTTTATATGCATTTGAAATTTTGACGAATTTCTTCAAAATCACAAAATATTGCAAATTATTTTGTAGTAAAAATTACATGAAAACTTTTATTTTTGTTTATAACTTTTGAAAATTTTATACGGAATTTTTCACTAGTAGTTCATACTGAAGTCATGAAATCTAAAATATGTATAAGAACAATTATTTTTTAAAGAAATTTTAAGTTCTAATTTGGACGAAATTACTTATTTAAACGATAAATAATGATAAGTTATTAATTTTTTTATAATATTATTCATAAGAACTTAAACTTATATGTATTTTTTACCATCATGAATTTCACCATTAAAAATAACATTCTTGATTATATTAAAAATATTACCTATTTATAGATATTACTAATCTACTTAATTTATTGTTTTACAGAAATGAATTATTAAGTTTTGTGTTGTCTAGTTGATATAATATAAAACAAATATAATATGTTATTATAATAATTCAATTCTAATAATACAATTAATACTCGTACAATATTTTCGGAAAAAATTGCATCAACCTACTATAATACTAAAAATATAATAAATGACTTTAATAGTTATATCAAAAAACATATCACTTGGTGATATAAACCGTTTTCGTTCAGAATCATTGAATTCAATTTTGACAGACCTACAATAGTGATTCGACACCTAATGTATATCAGGAAGTATCTAGGTACTCACTTATCTCCTTTTTAAACTTGAGGTCGGAAAATATTTCAAAAATATTTAAATACATTTTTGCTCTGTAAATTAATTTAATTTTTTAAGTGAATGTGATTTAAGCAAGTAAACTGCAATCACGAATGTACGTGCGTATAATATTAATTTTCGTCATGTTTTCATTATTTGTTACATGTGATGTATTTTCTTATTTCAAGTAATTTAAAATAAATTTTACATGATATAAATATTAGGTAATATTACAATTTTAATAACACTTTGATTTTGTGAATATGTCGAACGATACAAGCATTAATAAAAATTATATGCTTGGCATACAATAAATTAGTTTATATATAGCTATAGTATATTACAGATCACAGCAGTACGATAAACTAATTCGTTGTAAACATACATTTGTAATTATTTTATTATGTAACAAATTAGTTCCGGAAATGATGTACAAATGAAAAACGGAAACAGTTTAATCGTGTGGTGAGTTTACCCTTTTTTTTTGTGTGAAAAATTTTATTCGGATTTGTGAAATGAAAATAAATTCTATTACTAAATAAATTACATTTAAATGTGTTTTTTGGTGTATGTACTTAACGTGAAATATAGATATTTATTATTTACTACACGAATACAATATGTAGATGTAACTTAACATGAATTAATTTTAAACTTCTCGTGGGGTTAATGTATTAAATGTGACTCATTTATCTGTTTTGTTCAAACCTTGACTTGCATTTAAAAGAAAAATGTTTTTATACTTTATTAACAATTAAAACGTTGTACAAATTTTAAGTTTATTGTTATTCAGAATTTAAACGTTATTCAATTTTTACGTTTATCATTATTCAGAAGTAAAATTTTTAATATATATTATAAATTATAATTTACAACTAATAAATACCTAATTGGAAATTAACTATTTCTTTTAAATGATATACTATATAATAACGTTTTGCGTTATGTTTTGTTTGATGATATATCATATATTTTGTTAATCGTTATGTTTTATTTCATATTATTTAATTATTTATGTTTATCATTTTTCGTTATAATTGCATTTAAATATTTCAATCGTTTTTTTGTCAAATATAACGGTTATTAGGTATAACGTTTGCAAGCCCTGGTTCAAATACATATCAACGAAATATGTATAGATTAAGTCAATCAATATTACACGTTGTATTGTCAGAATGATAAAAGGATGAATAAATTGATTAGATTAATTAAACATTAGTAACTATATATTCAGAATATTTAAATTAAATAACAAAATGTACAGTGTAATTATATGCAAATACTTTAGTTCTGATACTATAAAAAAAAATAATGATAATAAGGTATATTGTATATATAAGTGCGCATAGAATAATATTCTATGTAACACTATTTTTTTTTTTTATTAATTGTAGATCTATGTGAATAAATTTATATAAATATTGTGATATATTGCAAGTTTTTATTTCTGGTTAAATATTTAAAATTTTTTAAAGCTTAGAATGCATATATATTTATATTACATCATCTATACTAAAATAAAATGTGTTTAGAACAATATTATAAATTGAATAAGTTACAGGATCAATTAAAGATTTAAATCAAAATATTAATTATTTGAATTAATATATATATACGAATATGTTAGGATGTGATTATATGTTGTGAAAAATCAGTCAGTTTTTAACTTTTGTGCTATTAAGTAGATTTTAGTTTAAAAAATCTCTTGATGTCTGAAAAAATTTGAATTAACATAATGGTTATAGATATAATACGTTAAAAAAGTATTTTGCTGGTTATAACAAAATTTGAAATGTATTTAATTATTAGGAATAGGAATAATTATGTTTTTAATTATTCTGTAATACATATGCTGAGAGCTCTGAATAGTTCCAGTTTATTTAATTAGTGATTTTAGCTGTAATAATTTTACATTGATATAATTATAAAGAGAAAACCGTAGTGGTTTGGTGGTGACATTTTCTTTGTGTTAAGTGTATAAAAGAAACGTTTTATAGGAGTAACGATAAGATATTACCAGTAGTAGTCACTATAGGAATTCGATTATGATTCACGACCAAGATATAAATGTATAGTCAAGAGAAGCTTACGATAGGGTACTTCTTAAGATAGAAGCTGGCTTCCTGCAGAGCCACAATAAATTCTAGAAAATACACACATATACCTATTACCTATATATATATATACATATTCTCCAGGTTAGAAGGTTGGGCAGTAAGGATTAATGACGACAGTTTGGGCTGCCTACCGGACGTTCCACGCAGCATTTGAGTAAGAATATGGTTGGCAGAAGGGAGAAGTACATAATATATATAATATATATATATATAAGATTTTCTGGAATATAATATGCAAGACGATCTCATTACTATTTCAGCGATGCCAACGTGACCATACGACCACTTTTCTTTTTTAGTTTGAGATTATGTAAAATGGAGTTTTAATATAGAAACTTTTTTTAGGGGATATGGTAGTGTGGTTAATGGAATTATGGGGTTGGAGTAAACTGCTAGAAGTAGAGATTGAAAGTCTGAACCGATTAAAAACATTATAATATAGTTTAAAGAAAAATGTAATAAAAAAGTGTTAATTATAGTAAAGCATATTCAGTAGTGAAGAAAGGTTGTAATTTATCTATGAAGGAAACATTGAATTCCTTCAAGTAAAAAAGATTAACCCGCAGAATTGGAAAATGTTGAATCGTTTATTAAAATAAGAAACTATTTTTATATTTATAAACAGAAATAGAATATTTATGTTTATCAAGTTTTAAAGTAGTTTTATTAAATAGACATTTATAAATATAAAAAGTTATTCTTAATAAAATTAACTTTCTGAAAAATTTATGAAAAAAAAAACAATAAATTTATTTCTTAGTGAAATGAATATGAACATGTTGAATAATGAGAGTACTTCATTCTTATTTGTTGATGAGTTTATTTAAAACAAAATAAATTTTGATTTTTACAAAAAGTGTATGTTTACTATTTTTATACATTTAATTGCACAATGTTATTGTCATCTTTTGTTTTTTTTCTCGAATAATAAGATTTAATTATTATTTATATTTTAAGTTACTTCATACCTATACTCTTATTAATAATAACATTTATAATAGTATTTATATATATACATATATACTGCAATAGATATAACAATACATACTAGCCACTGCAGGTGTACCTAATTTAAATTTTTCCCTTAAAATATGAAAAAAAAAAATAGTGCTGTTTCGAGAATATGAAGAGTTCTTGACAGCCAATTATGGGGTTTATGTATTTATAGATACAATACAGCGATGGAAAGAATTTTATTTTATATCACAATAATGATATTACTGCAAAGTCAAGTGTTTGCACCGTGACAAGGAGTACTTAAAATATTGGTTAACTACTATATATGTTAATATACACTAGTGGATTGTATTGTTTAAAAAAATAATATTAAATTTACCAGATCAATGATTCTGTAATTTTTATTATTATTTTAAATATGATGTAATATATATAATATTATGTGATGCGGCTTTAGTGGTTTTATAATAATAATTTTTTTAAAGTTTAGTGATATTTACAATATTACGAAATTAGTGATAGACGATAGTATTGATATTTTTTATATGATATTAATACTGTATATTTCAAAAAATAATGATACAACAAGTTGATTAAAATATTTTTTTTTTTTTATGATTTTAGGGCAAAGGAAATTCAGCTATAATGAAATCCTTGCACAAGCCAAAGGTAAGCCATGATTATTATGTTAAGTCATAAAATCCTGCACGAACGAAACAATAGCAATAAGTTTAGTTGATAATATTTGTATATTTGTTTTACTTATTTTTAACGTCATAAATATTAAGCTATATATTATTAATAACGTGTCGCTCATAAACACTTTAATTATTACTCTAATATTTTGTAATACTCGTCAAATATATACTATTTTGGTATGCAGATATGAATTTGTGTGAATATATACTATACTCATATATTATATGTGAGGTTTTTAATAATTTTTTATAAATTGACAAGTAATAAAACATTTTTACAATGGAAATATTGAAAAATTTGTCGATTACTTTATTTGCGATGCCTTCATCTTTCGTATAATGTGCAATATCTGTAAATTGTATAATTTAAATATGTATATTGTAGGTATATATATAATCTCAGTGGCAGGTGCAAAAACTGTGAAAAACCTATTACAGGTGTCTGACTAACTAATTGGTCAATGAGGAGTAAATGCGTGCATAATTACAGCCGTCACCAAATACGAAGTTTTATGATGATATAATTGAATTATACATGTTATACAATGCGTATGGCATATAGGTAGTGTATACATAATAATGTTTTTGGTTATCAGAAATATGCGTTATTATTTTATAAAAATAGTGGTGATGTTGTATAGTTTATAACACGCCGAAATATTGAATATAACACATTAAATAAAAATGTGTGTTGAGTTATTTGTAACTATAATAATTCGATATAAAACGCATGTTCTAGAATCTGCGGCAGAGTAAACCGTAAACAAATTGAAGAAGATTTGTAGGCAGACAAAAGTTTTCCCGTATCGTAAATAATAATTGAATGAGCACATTTCTGATACGGACGTAAACAGTGCAGGGGTATGGAAAATAGCTAGAGATAAAAGACAAAATGTTTAGAGTATAGTATCTGTTATACGCGTGATGCTGAGGAAATTCGAAAATCCATACTTCGCAAACACATTAGTGTAAAAACAAATATATATATATATAATATATCCATTGATATATATTATATATATTATCATTTATCAAGCTTCAGTTTAACAATATACTCTCATGTTTAATTATATACTTAAGCTACCTACTCGTTTCATTAAATTGACTATAATAAAAAAATATAATCATAAATTTTACGTACTGCGCATATGTATAGGTAGACAGGTAGGTACCTAAAATAATGTTTTAATCTATCATAAATTGAAATAAAGTATATTAGCTACATTTAAAATCTAGTTGATATTGATTGACCCGCTATTAAATGTAGTAGGATATATTCGTTTCTTATATAGTACCTATTTATTTTTATTATATTTTATAAATTATGAAGTGAAAATAAACGCATTTTATAAACATAAAAATTGATACCAGTATGGTTTGTTTAAGTACTAAATGAATAATGAATGTAAAATATATATTTAAATTATATTCATAAATCTCATTTATATTATGTCACCTCGTGCCAATTAAATTCAAAGATCAAGGCGTGTTGTCTTTCCATGACAATAATAATAATAGTAATAATAATAATAATCATAATTTGAATTTGAATTTAAACAAAAACTAAATAGTTACCAAATGATATTATCATTTATTTCTGCTTAGTTTTTATAATATTTTAACAATGTAAGCTTTATTTTTAAAGAACATGATTAATTATAATTAATAAAAGATTATTAGTTATAGGTAAATACAAATTTAAATAATACTTATTAGTTGAGTGTTATAAACGCTTTTATGTTTAATCTTACTGTGTAAAATAGTGTTATTTATATAAAGTCTATATTGTTATATAAGAAGTAGTTTTTGATAATAATTTAAAAATATAAAATTTCTAATCTTATTAAATAAAATTAAGAACAGTTTATAAATGTACTAGGTAGTTCTACAAATTCCTAAAATAGGTATTTATTTATACGACTAAATAAACTGTGTAAGAGGTAAAAATATTTTTTATGAGGTTAAAACTAGTTATAAAAATACCGTTTGTGAGATAATAATTGAGCTTTTTATAATACTATTTTATTACTTAAACGATAATGAATAAAAAAGTCTTTTGACAAAACATGGTTATATAGTGACCTCAAAAAAAAGACATGTTTATTTTATCTATAAGCAACAAGTTATTATAAACTTACTTGGCATCGAACAATTTTAGGAAAAGGTTTATTAATTAAAAACACCTTTAAAATGTAAGTATGCGTACCATGAGTGATGTTTATTTATATACTATCGTTCTTAGTTTCATACAGCAAAAGTTGAAAAACAATAGTAAACAATAATAATTTATTATTAAGTATAAACATTTTAATTTATTCATTATTTATTTATAAAGAAAAAATATAATTATCCAATTGACATACAGTTGGCAGTTGTAGTTATATTAATCTATTAAAAAGTTTTATCAAAATTCAATTTTATAGTTGGTTAAAATAAAATATTTAAGTTTAATATTATGTGAATATCATATAACAGTTCCATGAAATATTGTAATGTAATACTTTGGTATTATGTGAAGTTCATTTTGTAAACTTGAAGAATAATTTTTTTCATAATATAAGTATTGATTTTTTTTATTGTGATTTAATACTCATATGTATTTATACATAATTTTTGTAATGGATTGATCTACATAAAACAACATTCCTATAAGGAAGAATATTTGAAAGATTTTTCGTAAGTATAAAGTTATTATTACACAAAAATAATTAAATATAATGTTAAAACAACTTAATATTAGTACTTAATAAGAATATAATATAATATCAAAATCTTAATAGAATTTGTAATACGTGTATAATGAAGCAAGTTAATAAAAAACATACTCTATGATGTACCTATACAGTATACATGGCTACATAATAGTACACATAGGTATGTATCTATAATTAATATTGAACTTTCTACAAAGATAATTGTAGTATTTGCTTTTAAAAATCCATAGTTTATTTAAATTTAGAAAAACTGAATAGCTTTTGAATTGTCAATTTGATTTTTCTAAAAGGTCTAAAAAGTAAACATAAGTAAATAAAATTAGGATATCGTGAATTGTGACCGGTAGTATTTTTCAATATAAGTTAAATTACATTTTCCTTTTCATACAAAATAAAAAAAATAAAAAAAAATATTTTCATGTTGTATGTTTTGTATTTTGAACGATACATACTGAGTTTTATACTTTTACAGAATACTGAAACGTCTGAATCCAGATAAGAAGATCAAATAAATAGGTATATAGGTAAATAAGTTATAAAAGATGCATTTGAAGTTCTCTCATTTTTTAAAAATTTGTTTTTCCTATAATCCTGCATTAAAATACTATAGTAAAATATTTAAAATCAAACGATTGATTTATTTTGCAATATAAATATAATATTATTACGACTTAAATTCAGTTTTTTTCTGAGATAAAATTGAAGGGTCTGTAGTAATAGCAACAGGACAGCTCTATTTTCACAAATTTAATGATAAATAAAAAACTATTCACAATTTAATAGAAATTCCCAATACCAAATATATTATTATAATTAAGTTTCGTATGACAAATAATAATAAATAAAGTTAAGACTTTAATCATTGTTTCTAATTCCAACAACTGAAATTAAATTCTTAAAGTTGATAATTACTTGGAATTATTTGGTTGTTGTACCATTTACAATGTATATATATATATTAAATTTAAGACGAACTAAAAATTTTTTTTTTATTTAATTAAAACCAAATGTTACTTAACTATATGAAAGCGCTTAATTACATTAATGATTAAAATAAAAGGAGCGCTGTCTTTGTACTCAAATTTAGAATCAGACAATTCAATTATTATCATTGGTTCATTTATTACTCACTGTTAAAAGATTCTTTTTTATATTTGACGTGAAACACTGATTTTTTCAAAAAATTGAAGTGGTCCGGTTGTTGAAGCAAGTACCCAATTAGTGGGTAATTTCAGAGAAATATTAGGAAAGTAGTTCCCTGGGTGCCGTCGGCTCAAACAAGAAAATAAAGTACCTACATTAGGGACTACATAAATTATTTATTCATGATTACTGTTGAAAATAAACAATACATTCAGTATAATTAGTTACATAAGATTTCACACACTGCAGTAATATAAGTAGAGTAATATGTTTATAAGGGAAGCATAAATGCTGAAATGACATGTTACAATCACGGGTGTAGCAGTTCATATTATAGGTATAATGTTATTATGATTATAGTTTTTAAGCCAGTTAAGATACGCTACCCATGGCTACTGTATCTACATTAGTGCATTATAATAATATTATTGTTATTCACAGTATTAAAATGTGTTTATTAATTTAACTTAAACATGACTGGATTAATTTATTAATCTATTTCATTCAACAATTTTAAGAAAAAAAAAAAAGATAATTCGAATTTTTTTAATTTAAACTTTGATTGAAGGTACACCACACTTTAAAGACACGGAATACTCGTCATTAATTATATAGTTTTTAATTTATATTATTATATTATGTACAATAAATATAGCATAGGTATTTACATGTTTTTTTCAATTGTTTATAATGGTAAAGTAATTTTAAGTGCTTTTAATAGTTATTTTAAATACTTTTTATATATTTTTCAAGTAAAAAGAATACGATTATGACGAATATGAATTGTTAAAACAATTGACGTATCACTTAAAACGAAGCCTTCATGTAGGTGTATAGTGGTAAATTACTAATTAGTGATTTGTAAATTTGTTGCTAATTGCATTCATGTTAAATTCTACAGTGACACACGCGTTATTGCGTTAATGTATAGTATTGTATACATATTATATAAACACATTAAACCAATAGGTATTCAACAAGATATTGTAATAATTTAATATATTTTAGGTATATATTATTAGTTATTACATATCAATGTATCATGTTAGGATAAAATATCTATTTTGCAATTATTGTAAAACATATAAATATTTGAGTAATAAATAAACCTTTGATAAAATAATAATATGTCAAACCATATTATTTTATACACTTAATATATGGTTATTCGCTTATTCAATTGCTGGATATTTTAGGTAATTTGAAACGTTCTTTGTTTTCTGAGTTAAACGGTAAAAATAAGTATTTGTTTTTTTTTTTACGTTTAAAAAATAAATTGTGATTCAAGCTGCTGCGTCCGTTACGTTGTGAGATAGAATACGATTTTTACGATTTTACGGTTCAGATTTTCCGGGAGGCAAGCCGCCGTCACCGACGCCACGGTCTGGAGATTGTGTACGGATGTTTTGTTTCTAAGATGGAACGGGAAAGCAAAGTTCATTTTGAGAATATGTTTTTGTCCATCCACTAGCTTTTTCTAGCCGAACGCGTTTCGAATTTGGAACCGTAAGTTCTTCCCTCCCCGCGATCAAGGTCTCGTCAGGCGGTGTCGTTAGTAGTCAGTAGTCACATGGGAAGCGAGATGAGTGAGTGCGACGCACCGCTCTCCGCTCCGTCACCCACTCACATCTCTCGCAGCAACCCTTCGGGAGTCACCGTCGGCAGCGGACAGACACTCTAATCGATCGGGCCCCGCGCCCCGCCAACGACCACGTTGGCACCACTGCGGCTCTGCCACCGCCCCCGCGCGACGCCATCATCCACTACTACACCGCACCGTATGACATCAGCGGCGTGACTATACCGCGGTATAATAATAATAATAATTTAATAATAACAATGCGACGATATCGCGTGCGATCGGCGGTCGGTCGGGTGATCGGACGCCGACAACGACGCGCGTGTTCCCCTCCACCGACCGACAGCGGTTCCACAGTCACAACCGCCGCCGCCGAACACTGTGTCGGTATTGGCCGAAACGTGTGTGTAGCGTTGCCGTTACCTACCGGTCGACAGGCTGCTATCGTGTGCGCGTGTTTTTCGTCAGTGCCGCGTTCGCGTCTGCCGTGTGCGTGTCTGTTGCGTGTATTGTTTATCGTCGTTCACCGTTCTCACGTTCAGTTCGAAAATTTGATGTGATAAACGGTATTATGTAATTAAAATACCGTCATATTTTTTTTAGTCGTTTACAATTTATGTCGGTTGTGTCGTCGAGCGTTCCGGAACGACCCGCCGTGAGTGATCTGACGGATCGTCGAGACCTTTCGAGTAAAATTAAAATACGCGGTTGCCCGCGAGTTTCACAGTTTTTTATGGATAACCCGAACCGGATTCGTCAAAGCAGCCGTCGACACCGCACACGAGAACTGTAATCGTCAATGTATGTACCTAATATTAATATTGTTGCAACGTATTCTGTGCGTTCTTTTTTACGTCAAGTCTCGAAATGCATCGTAGACATAATTTTTCCGAGTATTAGGGTATCATGGAATAATCAGAATATGATTACGTACCTTGATATATTATTATAGTTTAGGCGTTGCAAATTGTATAAGTAATAGGTATAGAAATAAAAAAAAAAAAAAAATAACAACACTATAATATAACTTGTAGACAAATATTTATCCGGCGTCACTAAAATTGTTTCGTCCCTAAAAACACGATTGAAACCAAATCGTTACGGATTTTCTAGTCGCGATTCCAATAGTGTAATACATAGGTGGCTAGGTATACTACAACATTTGGTCATACATACAGTCGAATGTCAAATTTTTTAAAAAAAATCATAACGCGCGGCTAATGCGTTAACCCCGCGCGCAGACTCTACGACGACCATACGGTAGCCCGGTCACAGACCGGAGTAAACTGGTTTTAGCAACCACAACAAACCACCGACGCCGACTGAATGGCTATGGACTTGATACGACGTGTGTAGACTGTAGACGTTCTCGTAGCGTATAATATTGTACCGTAGCGTCGTATTATTGTTATTACTGTTGTACAGTATTCGTGGTTCTCTCCATTATGTTGTAGGATTGCGTCTGGTTGCGACCACCCGAGATTTTCAAGAGAGATCTCGCCGAATATTTTAATGTTATTACGGCGACGACGACTACACCATTTTGCCGATATAATAATAATAATAATGTGATTATTATTTTTTCAGTTTTATACTGGGAACGGGGTTTATCGTCTGTGCATTTATATTGTAGTGTAATGATGACGACGATAACGACGTAGCGACTCTCGCGGAACTGAACAATAAAATTCGGCCTCCGACGTGTTTACATGCGTTTTTCTCTCTCGTTTTTACGATCCGATTTGTAACGCAGAAAAACGATTCTATCGTCGTAGCCCGTTGGTACGCGGCCCTCGCAACGTGTCTTTACTCTTTACTGTCTTTCATTCTTTCGGCGAACGCGACTAGATAAACGTCAAATTTTATATTCCGTTTTTTTCAGTAGAGTGTTGTCGAGGTACGCCTCTGCCCGCGTTTCGTAGAAACTGATTGTCGTGAAACAATAATATTATTGGGAATTATTAGATTTATATCTTTATATATATATATATATATATATATATATATATATATGCGTATAAATTTTTTTATTTAACGTTTACTAGTACGAATCAACGATTTTCGTCTTGACACATTTATCGTTTGGCCACGGTGGGTTTTTAACACGCTTGTACAGATTTTTTTCTTTTCAATTATTGGTATGGCGATATTATACTCTGTAGTTATACAGTTATTTTTCGATGACTTTTCATTATTATCTGAAACGTAGCTCAATATTGTGAATATTGAAGTTTCGTGGAATTTTAGTAATTCATTAGTTCGTTTTCTATCGTTCTACTACGTTTAAACGTTACTTCAGCTTAGAAAAAATAAAAAAAAAATGTTTTTATATTTTCAGAAAGGTTTTTATAATAAACCATTGCTTTTGTCTAAGAATATTTTGTTATAGTTAAATGTATAATTTATTATAACTCGATAAAAAAAATGAGGAACAGGTAAATTTTCAAAATTTAGGCGCGTAGCTTTTGAAAATTTTAACTAGGTAATATAATAGTATTAATAAGGTTATACATTTTTATCACATTATAAAACTTGACTTAATCACTTATTTCCCACGCAACTTGTAATTAGATGCTCACGGCATAAGCCATTTTAAAATTTATATAATTACTGATGAGCGATAATTATTATTAATATCTACGTTACAATTAGGTAGATAGACATTAGACATCCATAACTATTTATAACATTGAGTGATTTCATCATTAGACGAAGAAAAACAATGATAATTAAGTGTCTTAGAATTTTTAATTTTTTTTTATTTATTAAATTTTGATTGTTTCAACAAAATCTTTTGTTTTTTTTTTGTCTTAGAATTTAAATTATGGATAGTTTTTTTTTTTTTTTTTTAAACGAATGAATTTCTGCAAATTATTTTTGAAATGCAAAGTTATCAAATTTGTAAAATATGTTTATCAAAAGTTTTTAAAAAAGAAAACTAAAAGTAAAATAATATTACGTAGTCGTATTATATTATACAAAGTTATAATTTTATTTCGCAATCGCGTTCGAAATATGTTTTTGGTTTAAAGACACTAGAGAAAAAAACTTTAAAAAAATAATTGTTTGATTACATTTGGCATTTTATAATGTTATATTTAATATTATATCATCGCGAGATACCTAATCTAATAATGTAGGTATACTATATACTTTGCGGCGGGGTCTTACCCATAGCGCGTGCTGTAAAGAGGATCGGTTTGTAATTCGTGCGTTGTGGTATATTTTTTTTTTTTTGAATTGCCATTGGTTGTTTATTTCATTTCTTATTTATTTTTTTTTTTTTTCATACACAATAATTTTGCCGAACGTCGGGACGCGGGGAATTCGGTGTCGGTTCATTTGAATTCACGGACAGGAGTCTTGGCTAAACCATGCCTCGAGATGTGAACAACAACAAAAATTTCAGTGTTATTGTTGTACATTGCGTCGTCATAATTTTACATTACAATATTATTATCGTGATAATCTTATATTACCTACATTTTATTATATTATTGCGGTGTTGCCGTGGAGCGATAGTAGCAGTAATAATGACGATGATAATGAATAGTATTTTTTCGTCTAATACTTTTATACTTACACAGCTGTTTCTCAAACCGTGCACTACGCTGTCACAGAACCTTTACATATAACCCATACAGGGGCTATGTGAATTATATATTATGTATATTACACACAGTATACTTATAAACCTATATAGCCCGAGCAAGAGGGCACTACGTGATGTTCCATCCCAATGACGCATTGCGCCATAATAATACGGGAAAACCAGCCGGCGTGTATACTTTTAATATACATTTATATAATAGGTATATCATCTACGTTAGGTCGTATAATAAGGTCGCTGGGCATAGGAAAATCGTTGGGATTATTTACTGTGTAGTTATTCGATTTTTTTTTTCTTAAATGTAGTTTTCTATCTTTTCAGTTGGACCTTTTCTCCGTTTGCTATGTTTACCGTTTACGTATCGCATCGCATAAACATTTAAAACACCGTGTAAGCTTGCAAATTCATCTAAATTATCGTGAAATTCCCTATAGTTGTGTAATAAATAATATACATGACGTGCACATCGTACATTACGTATCTCATCATCATTATCGGAATATAATATTGTATCATATCTATAACGTGTTAATTTAATATCACAGTCAATTTCGCATGACCGGAAGTCTATTAGCGTACGTGTTAATGTACGTGTGTTGTGTGTGTAGGTACACGTGTGACGAGACTTCTATGTTACGATTTATGAATAGGAGTTTATTATATTATAATAGTGCGTGTGTATACATTATATAATATTATGCTATAAATCGAGATAACTATTCTGTGGTTGAGGTCAAGAAGTCATCGAATGTTTATACTTCAGCATAATACATATATATGTATCACATGTATCTTTTGTGTACATAAAATAGTCACCGTTGTTACAACTACTTACAAGTACGCAAAAAATGTATTTTTTAATTGGTCGTATTTATTATTACATATGTTCAAAATAATATTAAAATAACACGCAGGCATTACAATATAATAGTATAATTATTATAGGTAGTATGTAATATGTATAGGATAGGTGTATAATGTGAACTACTGATATATTGGTTAAGGCGTTGTTGCGTCGCCTAAAAATTTCACGACATTGTGAAAGCACACCGCGTGATCCACAACCGTTTCCACCTATGTAAACGTTATTATTATAGATATTACTTATTACCTGTATGGCCATACATCATCTTATAAAATGACGCGCGCACAATTAAAATGAATAAAATAACCTATATAGGTGTGACGCTTCGCGATGTCGTATTTTATACGATACGTATACAAGTATTATTTATTCAATTTATTGTAATCGAATTTTCAATCAGTTGTTACAATATATCGCAAAACATTATGATGTATATATCCTAACTGTTGTGATATACTGCATACATATTTTATCAGTATTTTATCATATGGTTTTAATTAGGAAAAAAAATTAATATCTTCATAGACTGCATGTATACTATATAAAAGATGGGAAATTGGCGGCCCGCGTACATTTTATCTGGCCCGTGTTACGTTTCAAATTACTTGATATAATTTTAGCGTTTTTCTGTATTTTATTTTATTATGTTTTTTAAATTAAAACATGTAAATATAAATAATAAATGTTAATTGTATTAAATTTTTTTATTTACCTTCTATACCTTTGGCCCACTAGATTTTAGAGTTCTAAAATTGGCATTTAATTAACTTTGAGTTTCCATCCTTGCTATATAGGATAATAAACAAAGTATACGACATATAATATTATGTGTATGTCATACGATATATATTTATAAATTATGAATATAAACGGTAATTAAGTTCATACGGTACTTACATAAACTGTATTAATTGATCTACTTAAAAATTAAGTAAGTAGGTACAACAAATTAACAAAAAAATTATTCATTGTAGTGAATACAGCGAGTATAAAACTACTGGTTCATTGGAAATTATACCTGTGTAATTACGTGATGTATGAATTTGTATTAAACTATTATCATTTTATCTTGCCTGTTAAAATTTTGATTAGGAAAATTAAATTAAGTATTATATGAATTTAAAAATAAAATAAATGATCGTAAATATAAAAGTTTACCAGTCCTATCATCGGTCTTACTTTTGTATGTTATTTTAGATTTATGTATGATAAGGCCAGATAGAACATAGGCTATTTAATAGCATCATCACATTTAAATGCTTATTAGGTATTACTTTTGGTTTTACTTACATTTTAGACTTAAAAACGTTATGTAATATTTTAACG